ATTTATAGGAAAAAAGTGACTTAGCCACCAAGTAGCAACCCTAAGATCTCTCTAAATATAGACATTCACCATAAATAAAAGACTATTTATAACATTAATAAAATTTTGACAACAATATTGGGAAAAAATGAATTAAAGAGATAAGTTAAAAGTATTAAAATCACTTTAAAATCTAACTTATAAAGATATTATTTTGCTTCAGTTTTGTAACTACTCCTAATAAATTTAATTTCAGTATTTTTAAAAATATTTGACTATATAAAATTGATTTAACTTCCACTGAATTGGATTGTATGTACTCTACGTTTACCTAGAGGAAAGTTTAGTATATTTAATCTTAGGTTTCTAATTTCACATAAGTAATTAAGGATAGTTTTTAGTTGATTTAAAGTCGTAAATATTGGATAAACTTTTTATAAGATAATGATCTTATCCAACATGAAATTGTCTTTAGAAGGAACTTAGCTTTGAAAAGACATAAAAATCGATCAACGTAATATATTGTTTTACGAAAACTTTTAATTTAATATATTTTACTATAGTTTCAACATTTAATAAATACCTATTAAAAAGTATAAAGCATATGAGTAAGCATAAGTTTTTCATACAAATTGAACAAAAAATCAAGCATCTAACATGCATATATTGCTATTCATAAAGAATAATGATACTATCCTTTGAACCATATGCATATTGGCGGTGAGTAAAATAGCAGTTCAAAACGAATTAGAATTTTACATTCATGTGTAGTTAATCGAATAAGAAGTTTTGAAATTTACAACTACATCCATTTTTAACTTGGTTTGTTAACAAATATTTTAATCTTTTAAAGGCATAAAAGTCTAGCAATATTACAGGGATATTTTTGTCTCTCAACATTTAGTGTAAATTATTCCTACTTTTATAATAAATATAGATATAGATAGATAGATAGATTAAGTATAAACTTAATAAAGGGCAGCCCGGTGGGGAAAATCATAAGGACATACCATTACATTAGGAACCATGCCTTTCGCCGGGTAGTTGGCGAAATGAGCAAAGGCTAGAGGGTTTCTCCTTTCCAACACTTCACGGGTACCTCCAACATGTGTTTCAACCAATGGCTTGCTGAGCATCCTCTCAACTCCGTCAGAACCTTTTGCATCAGCTTGCATAGTGTGCTTAGGTTCGGCAAGACGAGTCCAATCCCATATTTCACGAGATTCACCACCATTACCCCAGGGCTGTGCATTGATAGCAGTCCCATCAACCGTGTGATCAAATGTGAATATTGGGCATCAATTCTGGGGTACCCAGGAACATAGCGGGAATATGCTGGAGAGTAAACTACTCCAGGATAAAATGCTACGACAGAACCAATATTGGCCTCACCATGTAAGAATAAACCTTTCCCAGCATCCTCATGTGGAATTTGAGACGGTTTGACCTCGAGAGTGTAGCTCATAACATCCTTTAACCTCTGTGCGCTGCAATGCCTTGGTTTCGGGTACAGCTGTGCTGAAATTTTTATTAGTAATCGAAATCCAAGGCGATGCAGCTATGAAGTTACTGCAAAGAACAGATTGAAATATAATTTATGCAAAACCACCATAGAGTCTCATGATCTGTGATTTTATGTTATTGCCTATGTTGCAAAAGCATAAAGTTAACACCATTATAACTGTCCACCAACTTCATTAGGAATCATGTTTTTTAATAAATGATTCGAAGGAAAAATAATAATGAAAATTTGCCCCTCCCAAATGAAATGAAACAGCTTAAGTAACATTTCAACTGGAATATTTAGTCCATTCCTTTAGCAATTTATGTCCAGATCTCAGTAGCCGTATATATTCTAGGTGTTCTAAGCTGAGCGTTAGATGTGGTCTACCTAATACATGTGGAGATGTGCACAAAGAAGAGCATACTGAATAGTTCCCGAAAAGTTTCACTTTTGAGGCATTACCTCCTATTAATGAATCTAGATTTAACTGGGCTATTCCTCCTTCTGTTTGTATAAAAAAGTGCATATCCATCTTAAAATTTCTAGATACTTGATCAACTTCTATATAATTCAGTAATTTTCTAAACCAGAAATCTCAAGTAACTCCGTGATTACCAGCCACATGAGACAACAGGCAGGAGTAATATTTCAGCTTCTACCTCAATAACAAAAATGTCGTCAACAATGGTTGAAGGCTAATGATGTTTAATTTAAGAATGACCGGATAAAGTAGTAGCATTAACGATATTCCCAGATATATCCTGGAAATATAAAGCCAAAGAAGTTGAAGCAAGGTAAAGTAATGTCATGAGTCATGACAAAGAAGAAGCAGGACATCCAATGGTTGCAAACACTGAAGTAGGGTGCCTATCAAAATTCCAAAGAAGTTTCCGCAACACAACAACGCAGAAGTGCACGGAAAATTAAGATTAATATGCCTTACCAGTGTCGACTTGTAGTGGAGAATTCCGACCAACAGCAAACCCAAGCCCACTGCTATCAGGAGAAGAAGTTGTTGTTGTAGCCTGTAGGTGATGTGGCCTGATTGTCTTTGACCTTATGATCAGGGAGTAATATGTCATCCATATACCCGCAAAAGCTTGTGACTTGAGAATGCACATTCTCGTGGACCTGCTTCTGTTGATCAGCTAAGGAGGCCTTGTTAGCCATATTAATAATCTCCTCCGCATCAGCTTCATCAGCATTCCTTCCTAAACGGTTGTAACTGAAAGCAAAGTTTATCATGGCAAGACGAAACTACACTAGTTTCAAGCTTAACTATTCAAAAAGATACATTCAATTATTTCAACACAACCATAAACCAAGAATAAAATATGAAAAATGACACTGTGTATATATATATATATAGCCCCTCTCAAAATAATAGCCGAATAAATGTATATTTTTTGTATATATACATTCTGTATGTTATATATACAAATTTTATATACTTTTTCAGCTACTGAATATATTTTCTGGCGCGGGCTAAAAGTGAAAAGAGCCCAATAAAATATCAACCAATTCATGTCCAAACGCCTACTTAAAAGAAATGCTTATAAAATATATAATTGCACAGCAACTAACCAATTTAACTATTTTCAAATTGTACATCCCCCTCTCCCCTTTGCCTTTCACTTGCAATAAGTAAATAATCTTACCTAGTATAAAGGAAGAGGAGATGCCTTGCCTCTCTAGCTCTGGCGAATGTGGGGCTTTTAGCAAGAATTTCACCGCCTGAAAATTATGTCCCGCAGCAAAAAGAATTCAACTTTGTACAATTAATTGTGTCAATTCCATAAGCAACCCCACATTATAAATGACCTCAAGATGGTCATTGACAAAGAACGAGAGAGCAGAGAAATGAAGAAGAAACAACACAGAAGCAAAGTATAAACATAAATTGTTTTTTTCTGAGGGGGGGACCTCTTGAAATTTGTGGAAGAGGAAAGCCATGGAGAGGTAGCTCGATCGTTGCCTCCTGATGTTCTTGACTGCTGCAGCTCAACTTTGAGGCTTCGTATTTTAGAAAAGATAAGGTCCAAATCCAAAAATGGTCCCTTATGTTTTGGGTAGATCCAAAATAGTCTGTTAAATATATTTGAACAACTATTTGTCCACTTCAAATTTTTAAGAAATTATGATTGTTAGATTTGACGAAAAATATTAAAATAAAATTAATGAGAACTTGTTATAAAACAATAAATGAAGAAGAAGTGTACTGCAGAGAAAAGTAAAGACTAGAGGGAAAGAATTTTTATTTATATTGGATGAACTACAATAGAATAGAACCCTTTATTTATAGGGAGAGGGTGACTTAGCCACCAAGCAATGAACCCTAGAATCTCTCTAAATATACACATTCACTATGAATATAATTCTATTTATAACACTCCCCTGAATGTCTATTCAACAATAATGTGCCTCGTTAAAACCTTAACTAAAATAAAACCCAGTGGAAAAAATATTCTAGAGAAGGAAAAAGAGTACACATATCTAACAATACGCCCTTTTGGTTGCCTCGTTAAAAACCTTGCAAGAAAAACCCAATGTGACAAAACCTTGTAAGAAAAAAAGAGTACTACGCATATTAACTGATGAGAGCATCAATTCATCCTTAAGCATGTATCCGGCTCCCCTCCTGTACATTATCTCTCCATTTTCATAAGTGCATATCTAATTTAATGACATCTATCGTCTTTCAAATCCAAAGGCCAAGATTAACTCAATCCCTAAACTATGGTTAAAACAAAATATTCCTATAATTCAGCCTTTCTTTAAATGTAGAATCCTTTACTTACAGGGATAGTGGGATACGGTACCAGCAAATCAAATCCTTTCATGGATTTTTTAATCTTTTTTCCCCCAAATTCTAAATTCTTTCAAACGACATTTTATTTTCACAGGCATCGTATCTTTTTTTATTTTCACAGGAACAATTTTATTTGTGTTTTCCACCTTTTTGTTTCTTAGAAACCAAATAAATATAATTTTTTGTTTGTAGTACGAAATTGGTTGCATTAATAAAAAAATTGATTGAAGTTAAGGTGAAGAAGAAATAAAAAAACTAACGAAAAGGCAAATTGCTGCTTGAGAAGAGGAAACTTGAATACAAAAATGCTTCGATGAGGTTAAACATTGAATCATATTATATATCTAGATGAAAAAGATAGTTTCTCTATGATTACTTAAAGGAACTAACAACATCAATTAAAAATGGTCAACATAATAACTCATAATAGCAAGCTGGTACTAAAATGTTGCAATGTCATTAGGATCATGACCGGCACTTGGGAGCAGATACCACTAAGTAAGCCTCATCAATATTTTACGAAATATCGAACAGAATTTTCCCTATTTTAGGACCATTCAAAATAAACCTGTATTAGAATCAACAACATAATCAACCAATATCACCAAAACAAATTATAATCCTCATCAACAAAGTATTTCCAACATAATAATACTAACTCCATCTCCAAAAATACGATAAGAAAGTCTAATACGAGTCACAAGTCTATATCAATAAAAGAATATTCATGACAATAAAAATGACTATGGAGCGACTCTAAGCTCCATAGTACTAGACATACAAATTCCAACATATGTGTATTACATGCTTATAGCGTTGATGCAAAAAGCTCAATTCACAGAGGAGAATGCCAGCTTTTCTAAGCTCCTTTAAGCCGTAATATCATGTGCTACCAAACTGCCTTAAGACAACACTTCTTGCGCTTTGTTCGGTTTTTTTTATTGCACAACCTATCAAACAAACCAAGTTATAACGTCAGAAAATAACAATTATAATGCAGCCCACATTTGAATTCTGAGATGATGACAATAATCGCATAAATCATTGTTACCATATGATATTTGATTCTCTGAAGCTGCCACACTCAACATTAAGAATACTTGTTTAAATCATGAAATGAAACATCCTGCAATTAGTAAAAGAGAGAGAAAAAAAGACATATTGGGATGAGTAGCATTACTTATTAGAAAATAAATAAATATGAGAAGCATCATAAGTTTTGCTCACTGACTCTTAAGAGTTGAGTCAAACTTCCATGGGCTGATCCTTGAGACAACTGTGAAGAGCACCATGGAGGAAAACTTCCTTCTGCCAATTCCTATTATTTAACGAATAAAATAAAAATTTATATAACAATAAACAAGAAAAAATAATTAGATTTCGCGAGATACCATAGTCATTGATGCATCTGGACGTGGAAAATGAATCTCCTGAACATAGTCTACTTGCTGATCAGAGCGTTGAGGAGATTTTGAAAATGATGTCTGATTTTTCCTCTTGGCTTTTTCAATAAAACTTTTTGGTCTAGTATTAGAACGACGAGTTGGTTGCTTTCTTTTTAACCCGGTCACCTTCGTGACATTTGTATTATCAACAAATACTGTCTCATTCGGCTCATTTTGAATAACATTGCCTGGAACTGACTTTTGAGATTCCTTTCTCTTTTTTACATCCTTTAACTTTGAAATTATCTCATTCGCATAATTTGCAACCAATTCATATCCTTCGATAGATTCTGAAGCTTCACTGGAAATCTGAACAAAAGTTTGGCAGAGATGTCTATACCTCGAAGTAACTTCAACTTCCGGATCAGTTTCCTTTGCTATCAAACTGACATCCATCTTATTCAAGTTTGTAGCATCTTTTGTCCACCTCTTTAGTATATAGTGTTCAGGAATCATATCCTTTATATTCAGTATGTCCAAGATCTTTAAGGCATGTCTACATAGTATACCCATAAACTCAAACAGTTTGCAGCTGCAAGAAACTTCAGTTAATGTTCTCTTAACAGTTACCACGTGCTCCTTAACACTTCCATGAGTGCTAACATTATATGTACATAATTCTCCTTCATCACTGGAGCTTTTTATATAAATAAGTAAGGACCTTTCCCACTCATTTTGAAACATATCACATATAGTTGGGGTATATACTTCCCTAGCATGAACCAATAAAGGAAATTTAACCTTTAAAATAGATATTCATTGAGTCATATCAAAATTTGATTTATTCTCATTAGCACGCTTATCATCAACTGATCTTTGAAAATGCTTAAAAAATTGTACAATATCTAGATCAGATTTCAAATATCCTCTTAAAGATCCATTAAAACTCTCACTCAATTGTGTGCTGCGCATACCTGCTGAGAATGTATTTCTTCCATATGTCATGGACCATTTCTCCTTTATAGCAAATGTGTTTTTCAACCAACTATTATCCCCAAGGTCATATTTCTCTAGCATTTCCTGCCACGCACATAAAAAATCCTCCTCATACTCATAATGGTAAAGCAATTTGCTAAAATCTCCTGGAAATGATGCATGAGCTCTAAAGACATGATTTAAATGCTTGAATGCATTCTTTTCCAAGTGCGATACACACAGGCGATGATATGTCTGTGGCATTACTAATGAGACAGCAAAAGATATTGCGGGATCTTGATCTGTGATAAATGTCTTTGGTTTCTCTGCAGACATAATCCTAAAGAATGCATTAAAAAGCCACTCAAAAGATTCAGCAGATTCTTCATATAAAAGGGCTGCACCAAATATGACCATTTCCCTATGATTGTTCAAACCAACAAATAATGCCAAGGGTCGGTATTCTTTATTTGTTCTATATGTTCAAAGGACACAATATCTCCATAAATCTTAAAATCCTTTATCATCTTTCCATCAGCCCAGAATATATTAGTTATCAAACCTTCATCATCTAATTGTAAAGAAAATCGAAAAGCAGGATCTTCTAGAGTTCATTTCTCAAAATAATTCACCAAGCTACGAGCCACTCCATGTTTCAAACTATCTGTTCTTTTGTCACGAAGATAATTCTTATGATCTCTCTTAGTGTAGCCTAGAAAAGGTTGTCCTCCAGCTTGACGAGCAGCATAATCAAATGACGCTTTAGGACGTATCCCTGAATCGTCTAATAAGTCAATTTCATATGCTTGAGCCATTTTTATCTTTCTTTGTGATGGCAACAGATGAACTAAAGATGGAGGAACAAGAGGATAGTTATGTTTCTCTTCGAATGAAGTGATGCGAAACCTCCCATTTGATTGACGACTTACAATAACATGAGCCAAGCAACCGGTTCTAGTTTCCTTTCTATGTTTTTGAACAGTAGGATCTCGTTTGTCTTTACCTCTGTAACCTTCTTTAAACATGTTAATTTTCTTGAAGTCACATACCCGTGTACTCTGTTTTTGTTTGCATATTCTTTCCTAACACTAAAACCAATTGCAGCCGCGTATTCATTGTAATAATCATATGCATGCTCATCTGAATCAAATTCCATGCCAAGTTTTATTGGCACGTTACATCCACTTTCAGAGTCACTAGATATCTCCATAAATCTACATTATAAAAGATATGAATATGACAAATAATCTATATTCTTAAATTTTGGAAAAACTTTTAAAAAAAGTCTCAAATAATGAATTACAAGACATGGGGTCATCTGCAATCTTATTCATAAAATTTAGCTTTTTTGAACTTTTTCACTTATAAACTAAGATTGGCGTCTATAAAAGGTTGAATAGAGTCTAATTTTCAAGTGATAAATGTAGAGCAAACTGCTATCATGTTGCCTTTTGTGTTTGAAAGTAGGCATAGCCACTAGGAAGAAATATGTTCTTCTCGATCAGCATTTTGTGAAACAATTTTTAATCTTAATTATTCAACTTGCTATGTGTGTTGTAAGGAATACAATTTCTCACATTGTTAAATATTAATTTCCTACTTTATTCTCAAAAATTTCAGTTGAGACATCTTATCAAACACATCGTAGACATTTTTTAACATAGGCATTTTGACACTACAAAAATCACAAGAGGTTTAATTTAACACTACAGAAATCGGAAGAGGTGTAAGACTGAAGTAGAACCTGTTCTGTTGCTGTCTCTCTTTACCCAGAAAAATATTTTGCTCAACCACTGATTTCGTTTTTCTTCTTGCAATTTTGTGTTGTTGTAGTAGTTTGTAAATGGTTTAATCTTTTGTTTTTCTTCATTCTGGCGCCAAAGAATCATTTCCATTGATAAGAAAATATTTTCCCAATCAAAATGAAATTCCCAGCAAGATTTTCGGATAGTGGATTTCTCTTTCCAATTTTGATACTAACCCAGTAAGAGAATGTAGTTTAATCATGGGTCAGTCTAAATAAATTTTGGCCCTTAGATATGAAAGATGACAGATGTCATTGAATTAGATATGCACTTATGAAAATGGAGAGATAATGTACAGGAGTTGAGCCAAATTCCTTAATCATTTGCATTCCAATTTTGTGAACCATTTTCAAAACATCTTTGTTAGAGATTTGATGAACAAATTAGGCATATTAACTTGAATGAATATATTACACCTTGAAATCATCATTCTTGATAGAGATGTAATGTCTTCATATAATGTCGTGGAATGACTTTTCAATATTTCCATAGAGGTATTGTCGCTATGACGCTATCATGCTTATAGTTATAGCAAGATACATATGTGCACAAATTGCATTTAGGATATGGTACTTCAGGACCAAGAATTGTATATGCTTTAAGCGATTTAAATCCTTCAAGGATTGGCATATAAGTTAAGTCATATAAGTCATATAATAGACTTTAATTATATGCATATCAAGTTTTCATGTCATGCTAGACAAATAAGATATCGAAAACTGATTGCACATATCATTGACTTTATACTTTCAAGTGTTTGAACTGCAGGTACAAAACTACATGTCTTTCATATGAAACCAAATTCTACTTGAATTGTTTCTCCAGACTTAAGATCCTCATATGTATACTTAGCGCTATTATAGATGTCGTCGACAAACATTTTATATCGGTTCCAACCTCCTTATTTTTCATAAAAACATAAAATAGAGATCTCTTCATTCATATATTCAGGTACCTGAATCTCTCATGAGATTTTATGAAGTGTTATGTCATGTGATCTTCTAGATCACTTGCCTCCTTTATTATGATCATTTGCTCATATTCTTTATCAAGAAGTTTATTTGAAATCGATTTGTCTATACGCTTTAAGCGTACCATAGACTTTGTCCTTCTAGAACTTATTCTAATAGGAGCATTTGCATTGAGATATAGTTACTTTCTTTAGGCCAACAAATGCGTCTGGCATGCTTTGCAATATATTGCAAATGAATTATCCTTTTATGAACTTCAAGTTCATATTATCTTATTCGAGGATCTAGATGTACAAATGATAATTCATTCCAATTAACTTTTTTTCAACTGTTTATCATGTCTTCCCCTCATGTTAGAAAAACTTACTTGTTTCCTCAACTCTGAGAATCTATCTTTGTGCGTTATGGTGTTAATCAAAACATACACCGCACATCAATTATAATAAGATGAAATTATTTGGTTCCTGACCCTGAACTACTTGTGAGTGGAGAAAATAATATACTTTGGCGTATAACGTTTATCAAACTGATATAGATAACTTTGTTCTCATAAGCAATTGTTTAGCTATTAAGTAGAGGCACTTAATAAATTATTTTGCTAAACCAATTGTGACGTAAACCAACTTATCAAGATGAACTTCTTGAATAGAAAATCTGGAAATTATGCTCGAAATTAAATTATTGAGCAAGTTACCTCGCAAAACACCATGTTGTGGGTTATTAATAATCGCACATGTAACCATCTCATAGACGCATCTTATGTGGTATACATGGCAGGTGAATGGGCTCATATTCACCTTTGATATTTCCAGCATTCATGGGATTCAATCCCAATTTTAGTTGGTATTTTAATTAATGAGAACATGCAGCATAAGAGAATTCGTAAAGAACTTTCTAGTTCTTTAATATTTACCCATGTGAATTCTCTTTTATTTTTGCACATCATACTTAAATTGATATGGGTAAACCAATTATGCCAACTGAATAAATTATCAATATTGATAAACTTCAAATTTACACCATGACGTGTGCAATTATCAATAAACTCCAAGTTTATTATGATATGAGTTTTTATATTAATAAACTTCTCTTTATTGTGGCATTCTTTTGTTTGTGTAGTACAAACTGGAGAATAAAACGGGTAGCTTTTCACATACATATTACCCCGCTACAAGTTGTAGTAATAGAAGATATTAAATCTTTCCTTTATTTAGAGTCTCAATATAACCAACCGCTTTCGCTATACTTTGGAAACTGAATAAGTTTCTTTGAGACTTACTACAACACAATACCTTATTGGTAATCAATTGTGTTTCTCCAAAATAGTATAATTGACTTTTGCAGAGTTCTCAATTAATTTTGTACTATCACATATTAATCAACATCCATATGGTGAATATCTCTTTTAAGGAGAAAGTTATACAATTATGGTCATGGTCAAAATTATATGCGAGATATGTTTCTTGCATTATTGTTGTCCTTTAATAATCACATTGCCAAAATATTTTGGCGTACAATAGGTACGTGACCAATGACCATTCATGCCATGATAATGACATTGATTTCTTATATCATCTCAAACCTCCTTCTAGAGGTGAGTGTGGTATATTCACTACCACTGTAGCACATTCATATTCTTCCAAGAATGAATATGTATTCATAAATAAGATGTTTTCACATTCACATCATGAATGGACCATAGTCATCTGTATGTGCTTTACGAAATCTTATGTCAAATCGATAACAAACATTAACTTCACAGAGTGAAGGCTTATTTTGAGAATCCTTATTATTCTCATTATCACAATGATAACGATTATAATTTCGTCTATTGCCACTTCCACATCCATTGATACGTTCACGGTAATAATTTTATCTTCTTTCAGACTTATCACACATTGCTATCACATTCTCTTAAGGAAATGAGAATGGAGCAAATTCAATGGGACGGGTTTCCACTTCTTATGCTCATAATCATACATGAATTTGATCATGGCAAGACATAGAAATTTTATCACTTTAAGTGGTTATAATTTGTTACAAACTTTATTAGAGCTATAATCAAAATTTATTGTCATTGCTTGTATTTAAAATCAAATTATAGAATGTCAAGAATTTAAAAGAGAAAATAAAGTAAAATACTTACCTTAAATCCAGAATTTAATCATGAAGGAAGTTCATAGAACAATTGACAATCATTATGCTCAATCTCAAAGTTTCTACTCAATTAGTTAGATTCTCGTGCTGATAACGTGTTATGAAAATAATAAAAGAACAAGAACAATATTGCAGAGAAAGAGGGAGAGGGAATTGTTATTGATTTGGATGAATTACAATAGAATAGAACCCTCTATTTATAGGGAGAGGGTGACTTAGCCACGAAGCAATGAACCCTAGAATCTCTCTAAATATAGACATTCACCATAAATACTATTCTATTTATAACAGAACTCATATTTAGAGGTATAGCTTTTGTCATTTTGCTACTCCCTCTATCTCAATTTATCTATCATGTTTCCAAAAATAATTGTCTCAAATTATTTGTCATTTAAGAAGTCCAAGACTAAATTAATTATTTTTCCGAGGGTATATTGAAGATAGCCTCTTTACCTGCTCAGGGTAGAGGTAAGGTCTACGCACACACTACCCTTCCCACACCCCACTTGTGGATTATACTGAATTTGTTATATTTGTTGTTGTTGCTGTAAGACTAAATTAATTATTATTTTTCTATTTTAATTGTTCTTAAAGACTATAAACACCTCAATGTAAATATCAAATGAAGTAAGATTATATCTTAAAACATAAATAAAGGTAAAACAGTAAAAAATCTCTCGTAATTAATATTTTTAAGGAACGTGTAAAAGACAACCACGACAGACAGAAGGAGTATATTGATTTATTTTTTGTGTCTGATGCATTTTTTCTGGACACTATTCTTGTCTATTTCTAATATTTTGTTTGATTTATTGTAAAATTTTGGGATTTGACAAGATTTTCTTAGTGTTTTCAATTATTATTTTTACCGTTCTCGTTAAATCTGACATAAATTTTATTAAATGTACAAATATCAAAAGTACTCATTTTTTAAAGGTAAATATTTCTCAAAATCATATTTAAGAAATTATTTTTAACTTAATTTTGTCATTTTCTCTAAAAATCACAATCGGTATTGTGATTAAATACCAAAAAGAATAACACTGGGCCTTGTATAAACGGGCTTTATTCCAAGCCCAAACCGGCCCTGGTGGTACGGACTCGCACAGTGACACTGCTCCCAATCTTCCACCGATTGGTACTTCGTTCGACGGGTAGCGATGGTGATGACCAACTTCAATGGTACTGGTGTAGGTTTCGGTACGATAAATCTTCACTCGCCGATTGACTTTAGTTCTTGTCTTTCTTTATTTTTATATAATTTCATGTACTGATGCAAAAAATAACAAAAATCGGATATTGTGTTTAGGTGCTGGCATTGGTTGCGGTTTTGGAGTAGGATGGGGTTTCGGAGGTTTGCTTCTTTCCAATTTCTTACTTAACAGTTTTATTGTGTTTGTATCAGCTAAAATTTTCACTTAATACAAATCAAATGGTCCAGCTCGGACACAGGGAAATATGTGTAGTATATTAGGAGCTTAGTGGGGTTGAGGTATTTTTTTTTTTTTTTTTTTTTTTGTGTCTCTTATATTGATTCTCAATTGCTTTGATGACTTCTTATAATTAGCAGTGAGACACTGATGAAACTATGGTATTTCAATGTTAGTTGAGTGGAAAAGCTTTCATCTTTATTACATGCCTGTGAATTGGGGTAGTATGGATTACACGACTCGTCAGCCATGAAAATATGGTATTGCAGAAAGGACAGTAGTTAATATCTTAATCGATATTCTTTGGCATCAGTTTGGTAAATTTTGAACATAGATTGAAGGACTATACATGAAAATATATGATTAGTTAGTCATGCATCCAAGTGCATGATTTCTCTAGTTTATATAGCACTAAGGTGTTTGGTAGAATTTCATACATGTAGAATTCAGTTGTCGAAGACGATGAACGTATATTCAAGAAAATCTGTAGAACACTACTTAATATATGTAGAACGTGGTCGTTGTTGCTGGAAATGCATATAAGACTTTTTGAGGATAGTATCTGCTGTGTTGTTTCTTATTAATAAGTGAAAAAAATATTTGTAAGAATAGTTAACGCTAAGATAGTGATGGTAGTTAGAAAAAGGGGGTATCCCCTCCATAGACGACGACAACAACAACTATGCCTTATTCCTAAACAAGTCGGGGTTGGCGATATGAATCTTCATTCCTTTCAATTAGCTCAATCATGTCGCCATCATTACAAAGACACATACCTATAAATTATAATGTATTGAGCTAATAAAGTCTATTGTCCTATCTACCTCGTATGCATTTTCAGGTCACACCAGAGAGCTAACAAGCTCAAATACATTATTTCAGAATATGTAGAGCAGTTGGCTTTTCCCACAATGCATATATGGTTCCTTTCTTTCCACAAAAACCAACAGATATATATGCTGGAATTGTCTTCCTCGGCTCTTACTTTCCTTAACAGTTAGTGGCATCGTCTGGTTTATCCCAAACATGTTCCAAAACAAGCCCCTAAGTTGTTCAGCAACAGAACAGTGCAAAAACAGGTGGCTGCTGTCTTTAACCTTTTTTAAGAGGAACAAACCAAAAGGAAAGATCAGTACTTTTTGGCATCTGCTTGGAAGAGAACACGTTAAAGCTTCTATCCTCATAGAGAAGGTTGTTTCATGGTAGGAGCTATATCAATTGTGCATTTAGGAAGTTATGAAATCTATAGATTTACCTATTGAAGGCAGTGATAGCTAAGGAATAAATGGACCTGAGGAGACTTCTGAAGCATGTTTTTTGTGAACTATGCCAACTTAGAAGCTGCTACTGTTTCAGTTAAGCTGAGGCTAAGGCAAGGAACATCTAGACAAGTCTCTGCTCTAAGCCTTTAGACATGTGATCTCCAGTATCCCTTGCTATAGATGAACCCCACCCTCCTCTCTTGCTTTCGCTAGAGCTTAAGTGCATGGATAGATGTAGCAGTAAAAAAAAAACATGTTAGTTGACTAAGATGTCAGGTATCTATTATTTTAGCACCATGTGAGTGGTAGACTTGGGAAGCAAGCCTTCCCAGAGATACCTAACTTTCGCTGTTGGTGCCAGTCTAGAGCATGGAAGACTGGTAGTTGGCATGATCTGGCGCGATTTGCTGGGACAACCTTTGTCTTCTTTGTTGATTTTGAGAGATTGGCTGTGCCATCTCGGCACCATTCAGATTTCTTACTCCCAGCTTGGTTATTCAGCACGTATTACTTCTTCACTAAAATACTTGTCTGCTTAACATCACACTTTTACATCTCTCTATTCACATTTCTCGGTTTCTTTTTCCTTGCCCCCTTGTGTCTGTTTGTTCACATGTAAAATGATAAAGGCGGCATACAATAGACCCTTGTGGTCCGGCCCTTCACTAAGCTCCCGCAATGCGCGGGATCCGGGGAAGAACCGGACCACAAGGGTCTATTGTACGCAACCTCACCCTGTATTTCTGCAAGAGGTTGTTTCCACGGCTTGAACCCGTTGCAGAAAAAACAAAAGCCATTAATACATCAAAATAATACCATTTCATACTACTTTCATCAACCTAAGCTGCGTCTGTATCTAAATTGTAGAGCATTTATGACATAAATTATTTGAAAATAGGGTGCCATTAAGCTCAAGACATGCAAAACTGAAGTCTAATTATAAAACCCAATCAACAGGGCAAATATCCAATAGCAGAACCTAGATTAACATAATAAAAAGACCCCTTTAACGTCACAAAGCCGACATTTCTCAAGCTTTTGTTAAACAAATCCGCTCACATACCTCAGAAGGAGAGATGAGAAAAAAGCCTAGCATACTATGACCAGTAAAAAACATACTCCTAGTAAACCATCCTGCAACCTCGTCGTCAAAACAAAAACCAAAATGAGGGCAGAAAACGGAAACTGTCCTAATACTTGTAGTCCTTGACGTGAAGGCTCTCGGAAGCACCCTCGCTCAAGTTGGAACTACCAACATACTTTCCAAGGGTAGCCTCGGAGTTGGCCTTGCACCTTGTGAGGAATGCAGCACGGGCCTTCTCAACATTTTCCACCTTTCCACCCCAGGCTTTGAGAGTGCTCTGCTGAAGAGCACGTCCGAAGGAGAATGAGAGAGTCCAGGGCCTCTTGCTCTGTAGCTTGTTCATGGCATTGAGGTTGCGGGTAGCCTCTTCCTCACTCTGACCACCAGACAAGAAAACCACAGCAGGGACAGCAGCTGGCATTGTTCGCTGCAAGGCACGTACAGTGTACTCTGCAATCACTTCTGGTGCAACTTTAGGGGATTCAGATCCAGGAGTGACCATGTTGGGCTTCAACAATGTACCCTCGAGGAGGACATGGTGGTCATTGAGAGCCTTGTAGCAAGCAGCAAGAACACGCTCTGTGACATCAGCACATTTGTTTATGTCATGGCCTCCGTCAACAAGGATTTCAGGTTCAACAATGGGGACAAGACCGTTCTGCTGGCAGATGATTGCATATCTGGCAAGGCCATTGGCATTGTCATTGATAGCAAGCTGAGAAGGCTCGTTGGCACCAATCATGAGCACTGCACGCCATTTAGCAAACCTAGCACCAGCAGCATAGTACTTTTGGCAGCGCTCGGCAAGGCCATCCAAACCCTGAGTAGTCGTCTCACCATCGGTTCCAGGAAGCTCTACAGTACCCTTGTCGACTTTAATTCCAGGAAGAACCCCACCCTCCTTTAAGACATCAACAAAAGGCTTGCCTGCAGATATGAGTAAAAACTGTCAGAATATCATACATATAAAGTACCCAAGTGCAATTATCAGGTAAGCAATATTATTAATCTATTCTTCACACACGAAAATACACAAACAATCCATATGATCGAGAAGTTTTATTTTGTGTCTCATACAACTGACACTAGTTGTATGAGGCTCCTTTTTGTCTCACAAATTTACGGACCCCAATCTTACACTTCTGGGTCCACAGAAATTTGGGTCCACAAATTTGTGAGATAAAAAGGAGCCTCATACAACTAGTGTCAGTTGTATGAGATACAACTAGTGTCAGTTGTATGAGACACAAAATAAAATTTTCCATATGAACCTACCAGATGCAGTCTTCTGATAAAGGGTTTCCTCAAACAAGATGACTCCGCTAAGGTACTGAAGAGCACCAGGTGTGAGGAAGAGCAGCTCCCGGAGAGCCCTCCGGTTTTCCTCAACATTCTCAACATTAATACTTGATAGACGTTTGCCAATCGTGCCAGTAGACTCGTCAGCAGCAAGGATACCCTTACCAGGAGTGGCTATGTATGCAGCATTTGCGATGAGCTCATCTGCATCGATTCCAACATGCGTTGTATGTTAGTAACAAGTAACAACACAAGGTAACTGAAGTTCATAGAAAATTAAAGCATCAACATAAAAGGTAGTCACATTGACACTAACAGACCGGTTAACAAATATAACACCAACTAGCAGGACACGACATTCAGAATTTAAACATTCAATAGTTCCAATCAAGTAATTTAGATAATAACATAGAGCGAAAATATCTAAGCAGCTGGGAAGCACAGATATGTGAAAGCTGTGTGAGCTGCAGATAAATCAAATAGCAGAGATCAAAGATTGGAGGGAATCAGGGGAACACACAAAAAAGAAACCTAATCAAGGCCTTTAACTTTGATTTCACAGTTCCCCTTCGACAAGTCATAAGAGCTAGAAACAATTCTACATCAAAATGGAACTTTTTTCGCTACAAATTGTACACAATAGACAAAGAATCATTCAACAAAAAGAATTTTTAAAAAGGAGAACATATTGAATCTTTAATGAGAATATGCATTTGAAGAAATAGTCAAAATCTTCAGAACAGCATATCAGAAAGAGTAATAAAACTAGCACAATCATTTGAAAAGAACATTAACAATCATTAGCTATTTGGCAAATACAGAACACTTCCAAATTAACAAGTAAAAGTTGAGACACATAATGCTCATGATGTCTCGTCTTATCGGGAAGTTAGCCTATTAATCATAAAAACGTTTTCAACACATGGAAATTTTATTTTACAAAATTAAGAATTGAATGTCCTAATGCATGCAGAAAATTAAATTAATCATTCTAGTTGAAACAACAGAGTAGTGAAAATAGTATCAACACTCTCACACGGGAGATCCAGCATTTGACTTTGCTAATGAAGAGATAGACAACTAGATCAAACTTCAAAAGAACATAACAAACCAAACGTAAAAAAAGAGCACAACTTTTAACAGCAACCCCTAAGATCGGAACAAGATATGTAACAACAAAATAAAATTAGACCTTACAGACCAACAAAAAGAGAGACAGATCAAAAAAATTAAAGATCTATCAACAGAGACAGATTTTGGATCAAACAAAGCAAGATTCCAATTACGATCAGACAACCAGATGTTAATTTAATTAAGAAAGAGAGCAGAGCAAAAATTTTACCGGCGTATTTTCCCTTGTAGCAAGACATGGTTATTTGCTTGGCCGAAGAGTGAAGAAAAGAGATGGAGAAGTTTGGTACACAGAGATAGATGGGAAATTAGGTTTAATATAATGTGAACATCGATGTTATCGCTAAATTGCGACCCCTTCTGCACGAAACTGGCGGCTTCGACTTCTTTACCCTCTAGACTTGTCCTGTTGTCCTTATACTAGACTATATAGGTCTTTAACGGGTGGGTCAGACCGGTCTGGGTTGAGAAAAGAAGGTGATCGGCCGGTTTTCAATTCGAGCCGGTTACCAATTTTTTCAAACCGAGCTTGACGGGTCCGGATTCATCCGGTAAAATATAAACTAGAAGGGTTTACGGGTCCAAAGGGCCGGGCTAGTGTTATTTTTTTTTTTTTGTATTTTGTATTTTGTATAACTATTATAATTTATATTAATATAAAGTAAAATATAAATAAAACAACAATCTTATATAAAGAGTGTTTGAATAAAATGATGCAAAGGCTTTAAAACCCTTATATTTGAAATTTGAATATTTCGTTAAGAATTTAAGATAATAGAATATAATGAAGATGGAAAAAAATTGCACTTATAATTTGCAAGTTCTTTTTTTGTTTCAAACTTACAAATTAAAATTTACATTTAACAACTAAATTAACAAAAAAAGAGTAAAACTAAATTTTCATTGCATAATAATACTTCAAATTAATCTAACAAACTGAAACATTAAGCATAAATACGTCTAATTATTTTAAAATAACACAAATTATCTCAAATCAACTTAAATATGAATTTCTGGAGGACGCTCAAGACAACTCTATGGCTCATTAAATAGCTTGTGCCCACCCACTTTAAATGAAGATTTAAGACTAGACCACAGTTCTTGCACTTTACTTTGTGAACTTCTTCATTTTCTTCTACCACCTCAAAGTGTTCCCAAACATATGAGCGCACTCTAGAAGTACGGGGCATGACTTAACTTGAATTGAGAATTTGAGTTTGAGAAATGAGAGATGAGTGAAGAAATGAAGAAGGGGGGGGGGGGGGGTGTATTTATAGTTTTTCAAAGGGTTAGATTCGTAATTACTAAAAGTGTTATTTTTTTAAAAAAATATTGCCCAAAAAAGGGCTATTCTTGCGATCAACCCGTTGGGCAACGGCCAAATTTGAAGATGATCGTTGCCAACGGTCATATGACATTAAAAAAAAATATAGCCGTTGAATCGGTCCGGGCCGGTTAATCGGTGCAACAGTATTGTTCGTTGACCGGATTTGATCGGTCCAGTTAACCGTTTTTTTTTAAACGGACCAACCGCCCTAACTACCGGTCCGAGCCGGTCTGGAAACGGGTCAGCCCGCCCCGTTAAACAGGCTTATATTAGACTCATATAAAATTTAGAATTATATTTATTCTGGATCGTTCCATTTGTGAGTAAGTTATACTTAAATTATACTCTTTCCGTTCATTTTTACTTGGCATTTATACTTAAAATAGATTTTCATTTTTACTTGTCACTTTATGCATATCAAGAGAAGACAACTTTTTTTCATGTTATACGCAGAATATTTATTACTTATTTCAAATTATTTTCTCAAATCCAATAAAATATGCATCAATTAATGTGGATATCACGGTAAATTAAAGATTTTATTTATTATTTTTTAAGGGGTATGAAAAATCAAAACGTGTCAAGTAAAAATGAACGGGGGAGTAATAATATGATGATAATCCGAGATACAAAATATCAATTGTCGTAAAAAAAATTTGTCATACCTAAGGCTAGTTTTATTGCCCCTTGGAAATTCAAGCTCAATTCAAATATTTAAAGCTGACCTTACATATTTTAAAGGCAAGTTAAACTCCAAATTTCAAACCAGGTAAAGATTAACTAAAATTAGTAATCAAAATTGTGTCAATATATAGTTAGACCTCTTTATAACAACATTCTTATATAATAACATTTCTCTTTGAAAGCCAAATTTTTCCGGTATCATGTTATATTACAGTCTCTCTATAACAGTATCTTTATATAACAACACTTATCTATAAAAGCCAAATTTTTCCTGAACCAAATCTCATGTTATATTATAATATGTATTTTCTATAACAACAATTCGCTATAACATCCAAAAATATCCGGAACAAACGAGGCTGTTATAGAGAGGTTTGATTGTATAATATATATTTTCTACAACAGCAATTCGCAATAACATTCAAAAATATTCGGAACAAACGAGGCTGTTAATAGAGAAGTTTGACTGTAGTTCAAGATGCTTGTGAGTTGTGATTGTTACATGCTTTTAGGAACAGTTTAGAAGTGAAGAAACAACATATTTTTCATCCCCCTAAATATTTTTGAAAAATCAAAATATAGCACCCAATAGTGACTTGTGACAAAGGGGAGATCTTATAGAGTACTATAGAAATAATTTATTTTATGGCGATCCTTGTATACAAATTTGGCACCAACCTACCCTTCACATACAGGGTTAGCGTTTCTCATATAGATTCTCAATTAAATTTGCACTTGAATTGCAACCTAATTTATAGGCACGTGAATTAATTTTATCCAAAAATATAAAATAAATAAGAACAGAAATAAGATTATTAAGATAACTTGAAAAAATCAAGCTGACTGTGGACTTAGCTTCTCAGTTCTCATGAAGCAACAATAAGAACAATATGTAAAGCCGAAAGAAAGAGAGTTGTTAATAGAATAAAAGTAGATTTTCGTGTCCTACAATGAGTATGATTTTTTCTATTTATAGCTCAATTCAGGGAGACAAGATCCTCAAATCAAGCTCTTCTTTAATATGAATAAAATCCTTCTTGATGGCTGAATAACGGTTGAGAATTAATGAAAAGACCTCTTTGTAACGGTTGCTCATTGAATGCAGTATTTCCCAACCGATGTCTTCCTTTCAAATTTTCGTCCTCGATTTTGTTATTCATATCTTACTTTTCTTTAATTCCAACGTGTTAATTCGTCAAGCATCCACCTGTCGTTTGAATTTTACCCCATACATCGGAGTAAAGTTGTAAAAAAGGCGACAGAAGAAATGCGAACCAAAACTAGGAAAAATAGGCCATGAAGAGTTAAAATTATGAGCACATTAAAGAAAACTTATGATATGTACGTCGCATGAAGCCATTCCTTAGACTTAGTTTTTTTCCCTGGAACCATTTCTACGTCCATTCAATTAAAAAATTATAGTATATATTTATAAAAGGGAAATTACCAGCTATGTCCATTTATAAATAGCTCATTATAAAAATTGGCCAATTGATAAAATATTACTAATATTAGCCAAATTTAGCCAATTAGCTATTTGTAGCAAAAAAATATCAAAATTTTGCTTTGTTTTGAGTGGGTGTTATTAGAATAGATTGGGCACAACTTAAGGAGCTTGAATCTCAGTTTTGGGATGATTTGGTGCAGCTTTGAGGTGGTTTGAATTGAAAATTCGATAAAATTGAACATGAAAAAAATGATATGTGTATCACACTGTGTATCATTTGTGTATCACATATGTATCATATTTGTATCTATTGTGTATCACATGTATATCCATGTATAGCAGTGCGTGAAATACATGCGTGATACATGTTTGATACATGTATCGCAGAAGACTTTTTTGAACTCGATTTAATTAGGAATTTTGATACAAAACCAGTCCAAATCACCTCCAATCTTCCTCAAATTTTGTATATTGACTTATCTATATATTTTCAATGAATTTCAACCATACCCATTGAAAAAGTTCCTTTTTTATTTAGATTTTTGGAATATTATATATATTTTTTGTATTTCATCACCTTATTTGCTACCTCATCCATAAAATTTCCTTTCCGTCTTGTATCTAGTGTTGCAAATCACGCTTAAAAATTTAGAATGTGATTTTTGCATGTGATTCTTTGAGAGAAAGAACCCTATTATTTGATCTTTCAATTTTTGTTGGCTAGTTTTGGTAAGTCTATGATTAATGGCTAGAGATTGGTAAGTTGAGATTTTATTTGGGACATTTGTGTAAGTTCCCTATTTTTTTTCAGTTTTGTAGCACTCAGATCTTAGCTCTTCTCAAATCCAAGTAACACTTAGTCCAACTCCTGCTTTGGGCTGGGCTACGTATTGGGTAGATCTTCAACGATCAGACTGTGGGGGAAGTGCACTATTACCCTATTTTAAGGGCACTGTTTAAGCTATACCCAGTTTTTAAACATTATTGAACCGGTACCCAATCCGTCATAAGTGATCAATTGGACAATAATACCCTTTAAAAGACATGAATATTTACCTAATACTAAGATCAACCAAAACAAGAAAGAAGAGCTATCCAACAGCTCTAGTCAACCAAAACATAAATAAGAGTTGGCATAACCAAATTTTTAAATATACCCTTGAATTAAATATACCGGAAAAGAGAAGGAAATCTAAATTTGATGAAAAACAAAACAAAAATGACATACAGCGAGGAGAGAAAAAGATAAAAAGAAAAACTTTAGATATATTGCTATGAACTTCAGTGTTAGAGTATGAATTTTAGATATTTTTTTTATAAACTTCAGTTGTTGAGATAAGAACTTCAGGCATTTTGATATGTACTTCAGATATTTTCTATGAACTTCAGTTATTTTGCTACAAACTTCAGATATTTTGTCATAAACTTCAGACATTTGGATATGAACTTCAGATATTTGGCTAAGATCGTCAAACATATGGGGTATATACTTCAGATAGTAAAGTATAAACTTCAGACATTTGAGTTTGAAGTTAGGAGCTGCTATTGGGGAACTTCAGATGCCCAAGTTTTAAGTTGTTTTTAATAATTCCGGTCCACTGAGTGTGCAGGCAGAAGAGAAAGGCAGCACTACCAATAAAACCATGTTTTACAACCCAAAAACACGAGTCAAACAGTCAAATTCATGAAATTTAAAACTAGTATTATGTTAAAGGAAATGACACTAATTAAATTAGTGGATCCAAATCACTGACTGAAAAACTAAACTACCAAAAAGTGGACATGGATCTATTTGCTAAGGATTATTATGTGAAATCCTACGATTTTGTGGACAAAACGCTGCCTTACAGTAAGATAAAGGAAAAAGGGGAGAGAAAATAAAAGGAAGTGGAATCTAGAAGGTTTTGAAAACTGAGGTGTGATCTCTGGACAGGGGCGACGAGGGTGGTG